TCATTGCTACTTTTGTCAATGAAATTTATAATAAATAAATAAAACTAAAAAACTAAATATATTATTCACATAGTATACATCAAAAATATTGAGTAATGCTTAAAATTATATTCAATTAAAGGGTAAATGGCAGATGCTAACATAATTTATGTTAACATTTATGTTAACTCATAGACATGTACCACTCAAATATTGTACATATTTAAAATTTATCTAAAGATGTAATGATATATTACTTACATATTATATTATAAAATTTATATATTTTAATTCAGTTTAACAAAAATTGAAACCTCTTTCTTTTGAATTCACACACATACAAAAATGACATAATTGTTTCTCATTATTACTTTATTAATATCTACATTAATAAGAAAACATGCAATACACAATCTGAAATAAAATGACTAGTATACATTTGTTGAGGGACTACATAGTGTCATTCTTATCCATACACTATCCAACTTTATGTCTAAAGCATGGCTTGCACTGTTATGGAGTACTTTCCAATTTCAGATGCTATATACTGCTTCAGAGGAGGAATCCTCCCACAGTACAAATGCCAATATATACTTTATAAAATTTCAAATAATTTTAGCTAGGATAGCATAACTTTCACACACTTTCTTCATAAAAGTGTCGCATACAATCACTAAACTGTTGCCTTCTGCTTTCTCACTTGTGTACACCTATTTTTCTAAGCAGGCTTCACATCTATATGTTTGTTGTCTTCAAATTGCACTGCTTTTAAAATTTATATTTATGAAAAGAAAAAGACTAATAAGTGAAAGAATGCTACTGTGAATAAAATCTTTAAGAACTTTTAAAAAATTGTTCTGTTGTTATAATTACTGTATCATATAAAACATCCTGTCCAAATTAGTTTAGCATCTGTGCTTTTCAGACCAATTGGCTAGGTCAGTTTTGCTAAGACAAAAGCCAAATTTCTGTCTAGTGGCCATGAGTAAAAATATATCCAAACATAAATAAAAGTTTAGTTTATAGAAGATTGGAAAGAAAAAGGCAAGAAATAGTAACCACTAATGAGAACTATAAAACATAAGTGCATAAATAAGGAAAGTCTAAGTAAGTAGATTTTCACAAATACATACTAAGGGAGGTATGCATATTCACCCTTAATGTAAATGATAAAAAAGACAAATGTTAGAAGATGCCTATGAGTCATACCCACTTAATTTCTTAACGACAGAAATATTTTGAGTCATATTATTAAATTTTAATGACTGCCATTTCTGTTTATTTTCACTATTTTAATGAAAGTGTATGACGACTCTCAATTTGGGAAGACATAGACTTCATAACTGTCACCATTACACGATAGCATGAATCATTTAACAATCATTTCCTCTAATCAAATTTGAATAACTAAAAATAAAATGCTAAATTTTTAATGATGCCATACAAATTGCACTCTGTGATTTTACTACATTATTGTTATATCCAAAAGCTAGTGAGCTACAATGACACAATACTGTATTAGTTAAAACTTATAGATAAACTTCAAGAGATGAATGTGTATACACAGAGCATATGAGATAGTGTCCTAATGCATACTAATAAGTGTTGCATATTAGTGCTATAGGTAGAAAATTAATAAACACAATGTAATTAAATATGGCCACTGCATAGAATATTCAGGCTGAACATATTATTATAAAAATGAATCATTAAATTTGAAGCTCTAATTTCAAGCCAAAGCAAATTTTTCGATCTTCCAGGCAAGTGTTTTCTGACTGATGGTAAAGCAGAATATTTTATAGCTCCAGAACTTCATGTTTTTCACATCAGAAGAGTCACATGCGACATTTGTCAACTTATAGCTCTATCCCTGGATTTAAAGAAAGAATTTTTAATGTGATGAGAAAGACCTCATCATTTCTATAGCCCAAGAGTTTACAGGTTTTCAAGGCGATATCTAGTGGAAGCTTAGAAAGACAATGCACAAGTGAGAAAAACTGGGCTCACACCCCTTGCCTCTTTGGCTGCTTCAAGTCTGCTTCCATTCCATACCTCTCTGGCTTCCATTCAATACAAAAACCATAGGAGGTGCCCAGTATTTAATATTCTAAACACAGTCTAAGTCTGATCATAAAATCAGAGTTAGAAAGGGCAGTAAAAGCATATTTGTTCATTCCTAATGATTTAGGAAAGGTATCAAAACTTTGCAAGATTTTAGCCATGTGGATTTAAGAATCTTCTTAGAAACTCTGTTATTCATACTATTAGAAAATTTTGCCGAATATCAAAATTTGATTCCTAATCCGATTTCCATTAATAAAAACATTAATTGTTAAGAATACTGAAAGTTATTCAGTAATCTTTCATTTTCTTTTTATCACTTTTTCAATCTGTGTTACATCATAATTAAACCAAAGGTGTAGATGACAAAGAGTTGAAATATTGGAAATGGAAAAAAATTATCAGCGTATTCTTTGAGCTTTATCAGAGAACTAATTTTCTAATATCTACCAGAAGTGTTGATTTTATTATTGTGTTTTAAATTTTTTCTATTGTTTAGAATCTCCATCACAACAATAACAACGATTACAAAAATATATGTGATTATATTTTTTAAAACTTTCAAAAATCTGTCCTACTGAACTCATGTGAGCCTGAAAATAGTGTGCTCCAAAATTTGTTAGTGGAACACTAACAAATACAAAGGACAGAAACTCTATATAATGATAACACAAACTTTTGCTGAACTGCATTCTTAAAAATTAAAAAGTTATTCTACACATAAAATCAAATTTGTTTTATAGAGATTCACAAAGAAACAATCCAGTCTGATAAAAATGTATACATCAGAAAAAGAAAATGAGTATAAATATTTTAATATTAAATGCATTGAGACATCATAAGATCAATCCAAGTGATCTTTGACCTCTATAAATACAAGAGGTGATGAAAGTGGTGATCTTTAGCTTCCAGACATTTATTACTGTAGTCAAATTTTGAAGTGTGTATACATTTTTTGGTAGACTATGCATATTCTTTAATTTTAAACCTGCTGGGAATTCACTGGAAGACTTTAATAATGGGATTATGTATTTATCACAGTTTATATTAAAATTTTGTCACATAGTTTTCTCATATATTACAAATCTTCAAGTTACACATGACAAGCCTACATCTAATTTAGTCAAGAAATATTCACCCCTCCAAATACCAATTGTTTCTTGGTTTATTATGATATAGAAACAAAATATTTTCTTGGTTTTGGTAAGAAGAAAAATTAAGTTGGTGTTGTTTATGTATATCTATAAAATGTATACATGTGATATATTGGCCAGAAAATTAGTTAAAACAGAAAATAGAGAATAGACAGCAAAACAAAAATAACATCTGCAAATTCTACTGTATACTTTGCTAAGATCATATTGTACTTCACATGAGAGAGTGTATTTTATCTTTATTTGTGTGTGTGTGCATTTGCATCTTTCTGTTATAAATATTCTGAACTCACCCCAAGAAGAAATCATAAACCTAATTTCTCTATCTGTATATATCATTAAATTTCTATATTGTAATATATTTGATATGTATTTATAATTGTGACTTTTAAAATCTTCCTTTCTCTCCTTGTAGTTAATTGTGGTTTTCTTCAGTTAATAAAACTGAAATGACAAAAATACTTTGGTCTTGTACACTTGGCATAACTTTTTTCCAACAGTATATATATATATATATATATATATATATATATATTACTGAATGTTTTTTTAGTAGCAGTCTACTAAGTTGTTAAAATTTAAATCCTTCTGATATATAGAAAATAACAGTAAGCAGTAATAGATATAACTATCATGAATGAAGTGAAACCACTTTGCTTGTGATTCTTACATACATGTTCTAGAAGGTGAAAATTCACTTTAAATATAGTCTTAAAATTAAAGCTACAATATAATTTTGATGTAATTTATACTGCACTACAAAAGTATATTTCCTCAAAAACAATTTATGCAAATATCTCCCTAATTAGGGCACAGTCATGGCAATTCCATGTCTCAAAATCTACCAAATAATAGAGAAATAGGTTTAGACATAAATCTAAACAACTTCTTTATGTTCTGTTTTGGAAATATGTTTACAAATTGCAACAATATATATATTTTTTTCTTTTTGGCAGAAACAGGGATTGAACTCAGGTCCTTGTGCTTGCCAGTTAAACACATATTCCACTGACCCATCTCCCCAGCCCCTGCATCAAAATATTTTTGAGATAAATGTGCAAAATCAAAAGCAGTAATAGAGACCAAAATCGTAAGAGACATATACACTCCATGCTGTGCATTTTTGAAGGTAGAAATATTAATAAAAAGTATAGAAAACAAAAAACATACAATGGGGCTGAGGAGATGGCTCCGTAGAATAAGTGCTTCTCTGGCAAGCACAAGGGTCTGAGTTCAATCCCCGGTTCCACCAAAAAAAAAAAAAAAAAAATCAAAATGCTATAGAACTTACAACTCATAAATTTTTTCTAAAAAAAAATTAGATAAAATAAACAAAACTTATAACATAAGATATTCACTAGTTTTCTATTTGCTACTTACTAGGTCCACAAATATTGGAATGGAATACATAGGGAATATTGACCATATTGCTTAAAATACAATAAGCACAGTACATCAAAAATATTATGTGCTGCATGTTAATTACTGTCATGGGAAGCCTTACTGAAGAAAGATATGAATTTTTAAACTTTTATGTTTAAATGTATATTTGATTTAAGCAAATAATAAGTTTTTCCTATGAGTTTGCTGTAGACATTTTCTGGTGATTGTTTCTACTTATAGAATTATTTACAAGCCTAACAATTTGGGATATTATTAAAATTGGAACTTATTTTTTGACACCACATGCACACATATGTTACACACACATATGTGTACACATGTACATGCACGTATATGTACATGTATACACACGTGTCACATACGTGTGTGTTTGTGTCTGTATGTGAAATATTTACTTTACATTTATAAGGAATGGTCTTCCAAAATGAGGGGATCATCATTAGAGGGTCTGGCTTGTTGACCTGGAGTGTAGGTTGTTGAGGAAATTATTTTACTTGAATCATCAATGGGATAAAGTCCTGCACACACGGTGTATAATTGAACTCTTGCATTTCCTTGTACTCCCTGATGAAAAGAATCAAGTTCATCAGCTCCAGAACTTTTCAGCCACTCTTGCTGAAAACCCACTTTTTGCTGGGCATGACTGCAATGGAGGCCAGCAGTCTGTGACAGAGGCGAACTGTGGCAGAAGATGGTGGCCTGGCTTGGTGGTGGGCTGTGACCAAGTGCAGTAGCTTTTGATAGAGGAGGACTGTGATGGAGAGTAGAGGCCTGTGCTGGTGGAGGGCCATGACAAAATGTGATATCTTGCGTCACTGGAGGACTGTGGCAGAGAGCAATGGTCTGTGTTGCTGGTGGTCTCTGGTTGTGAATAGAGGTCTGTGGCAGGAATGGGATGTGACACTGATCAGAGGCCTGTGGGTGTAAAGGACTGGAAGAGGTCAGAGAAGCTGGCATCCAACAGGTATCAGAATGGCCCAAGATAAGACATTCTTGAGTGCAGTTGTCAGAGATCTCTTCCACAGTTGGTTGCATGGTTAATTCTGTAGCTGTAGGGTGAGGGAAACAAAAAAGTAATATTTACATTCCAAAAACATATGGTTATTTTCTACTGAAAGCAAAATCGTATCATTATAGAAATAGTTAACAAGCTCAACATAATTATCTAAAAGACTATTAGTATTTTCACAGTTGATACCTGATTTGTCGGGAAATAACTCCTAGAGAGATGTGAATAAGAAAGTGAGTGTATTTTCTTTATAATTTTATTTGCTCTGCAAAAGTCCATGTAAAACAATGAAAAGAAAGCCGTAGACTGGGTGAAAATATTTGCAAATCACATTTTTAAACTTAATGCATGTGTTTGGTGTTCATTATTGACATTCATTTTGGACAATTTATACAGGCATGTAACATATCTTGATCATTTTGAACACTCACCCAAAACTGTCTCAGTTCCCTCTCCTCTCCCAGTGATTTCGTTCCCTACTTTCAAGAATCTATCTTCTATCTTTATGCCATCTTTCATTCATTTTTTTTTGCTTATACTTTGCTCATATAAAATTTGCAGTGTTTAATTTTCTGGCTTATTTTACATAGTATGATAACCTCAAGTTTCTTTCATTTTCATGTAAGTGAAATGAGTTAATTTTCTTTATGTTTTAATATTGTCCTATGGTGCACAATCACATATTAACTATTTACCTTTTGACGGGCAGCTAATCTGTTTTTAGATCTTAGCAATTGTGAATTTTGCTTCTATAAATATGGGTTTGGTATATCACCATAGAATTAATAACTATTTATCAAACAATATACAGGTATCATCATGAAAACATAAAATAGAAAGTAATGGGGTTCGTGAGTTAGCTCAGAGCTCTAAAGCACCTGCTTAGCCAAACTTAGATAGTCACAGGGGACTGCAGTTCTATCTCTAGTACCACATGTCCTGCCAGCCCCACTCTCAGGGCGGGATGAGCAAGCCAAAAATTATTTTTTAAATGAAAAAAAGAAAATAAGTATAACTCAGAAATAGAAAGACATACACTTGGTTCTCATAAAAACCTGATCAAGAAAAAATAGGACTTTTTGGTATATCATGTTATACTATCTGAAAATAGAAATAATTGTATATTTTTGAATTTGGAAAGGCTTCTATAACTTTTTCTTACCTAATTACACTTGCTAAACTATATGTAATATAATATAATATAGGATCATATAGTAGAGACAGGGAGAAATAAGCAACATCTGGCAGGACCTGGGTAGCTACTGTAATGAAGATTATCACACACTAATTTATAATATGATATACTGGGGAAGCTGCCATTTGTGGGACTTTTTCATACTTTTATCATGTACTCACAGATGCTGTGAAACTTGGCTCACCTCAGAAACAAATGCTAAGACCTAATTTTATTAATGAGTGAAACAGTTATTTCTAGTGAATCTGCTTAATTTTTACATATGAGTAAGGAAATTACACCATTCTGAGAAGCTTCTCAATGACATACAGCTTGCTTGCTGGGAGACAGCCCTCCCTATTTGCAATATTATCAGTAAAATTTCCACTTTAGTTTACTTTTACTTTCTTAGTTCCCCATTCCCTGTGGAGAGTCTCTTGGTACTTAGCCTCACTTCAACTATTACATTCTTCCTGGAGCGAAAAGACAAACCAACAAAATGGGGTCTCATTAGGAGGACTTCAGTCCCCAAACATCTTCCTAACACAACGTTTAGTGACTACATTATAGATGAAACACCTGTGATAGGAAAGCATTGAGTATTTCACCATTAAATAGTTTCTAATATCACTTGTGATATTCTTATTGCAAGAAAATTTAAGGAAATAGACTTAACTTTTTTACTATGACTTTTATTATTATTTATGTACAGTATGTAGTCATTACATTCATTATGGGGAATATATTTATATACATTATACATTCCCATACCCTTTCTCCTATCTCCTTTTATTTTACCAGTTTCAGATTCATTTATTTGTAAAATTTTAAAATCTTTATAATATATAGAATAAAACTCAGACTAATAGGATAAAGAATACATAAAACCTGTAAAATAATTATACTAAGTCACTGTAGTTTTAAAACATGGTGCTAGATTACTTTTTCCTTTCACTTTTTTTCATTATGATCTCAAGATGGATCAATTTTCTTAAAAATGAATCAAGTTTTTCTTTTCTATGGCAAAGATTATCCTTTTTTTAGAATTGGTGATCATGTATGTCATGGAGAAGCTTCTCAGAATGTGTCTTTGCCTTATTCATATGTAAAGATTAAACAAATTTACTAAAAATAGCTGTTTTACTGATTGATAAAGTTAGATCTTAGCGTTTGTTTCTGAGGAGAGCCAAGGTTCACAGCATCTGTGAGCACATGGAAAATGAGTTTTTCTTCATTTTATATAAATAGCACATGTTCTTTATCCATTTATGTATTTGTGGACATATGCACTACTTCCAAAATTCAGGTATTATGAATTCTGCTGTTATAAGCATAGATATACATAATTTCAACACCAAATGTTAAATCTACTCTATAGACTATAGATTAAGTCTTTTGGGAAAGACATTAAGTTCTAGAAATTGAAGAAGGGAAATAGTTGTGATAAATGGAATTTTTAACATTGGATTTTTGAAGAATCTCCACAATGACGTCCCTCATAATTGTATCAGTTTGCAGTCACACCAACAACAAAGAAAGGTCTTTTTCTTTCCAATATTGGCGATCATTTTCTTTCTTGATGATAACTATTCGTTCTGGAGTGAAATTAAATTTTATTATTGTTTTAGTTTACGTTTGACAAATAGTCAATGTTGTTGATTTTTTAAGCTCCATATTGAACATTTGTATTTGTTTACCTGAAAAGTGACAATGCATTTCAGGTGATCATTAATTCATTGGGACTAAAATGTATGGATCTAATTTTTGTTGTATAGGTCTTGCTTTATCTTGGTCTTAATCATCCAACAGAAAAGTATAAAAATGAAGTATAAGAAATAAAGTCATGGTGTTATGATGAGCTGTAGGGGACAGAAGTCAACAATTTCTGACACTGCCAGTGAAGAGGAAGACCCAATACTATTATGGACTACTGGACTCTTTTAGAATACTTTGCTGAGTTAACACACCTATAATATTCAAATGATGGAACTAAACAGAAAAAGGAGATATATAAGTGAATGTCCATTTTGTATCTGTGTATTAAAAATGGTTAGGATAGATAAATAGTTACACTCTCTTAATGAATAGAGGGATTTGCTGTAATAGTGTTTGTAAATAGGATATCATGTCTGCATCTTGTACAGCAAATAACCACTAGGAAGACAGTATGCAATGTGTTAATTATTGAAAATGTCCTACCAATTTTATTTGAAACTGTCTCATTGCTATTTGTCAATAAAATTATGGAAAAATATTTACATATTGTTTATATTATTTCTTTAAGTAGTAGTTGGACAATATCTTCTAGCCCATTCTGTAGGATTTTTTGCTTTATTTTATTAGTATATTAGTATTTTATTAGTATAGATTTTTAAAAATTTAAAGTGATATCAGTTGTTGACTCTTGGCTAGTTCTTCTACAGCCAGAGTTTATTCATAATATCTATGCCTACACCTCTGTCTTTAAGATTTTTATCTATTTCATCACCCAACAGATTAAATATCTCTGTTTCAATATTAAGAGCATTGATCCATTTTTATTTTATTTTAGTGCTTATTGAGAGATATGGCTCTCAGTTGTACCTTGGCATGTGAATACTTAGTTTCAAAAGCACTAGTTTTTTTTAAACTGTCTTTGCTCTATCAAAAGGATTTATCTCTTTTGTCAAAAATAACTTGCATGAAGGTACCCAGACTTGTCTACTGCATTTATCCACAAGATTTTCCACTTTGTTTTGTTCCATATTTTATTTTGTCAATAATATGGTGGGCTTCTTTTTATCACTTAAAATTTGCAGTACACGTTGAAATCTGGAATTGTGATGTTTTCATCCCATCCCTCATACCTAGGGACCAAGTTCAGATAATCCCTTGGATGCTCCTTCATTCTTTCTTTTTGACTCCTTTGTCTAGTATCCTAAACGTTGCATGATAATCCTTTCTCCTCCAGCCTTGTGTCTCCTTCCTTTCCAGTTAATTTATATTAAATTTCACCACCAAATGGTAAGCCCACTCCACGAAGGGTAAACATTTTACAAAAAAGCTTCTAATTCACCACCACTACTGTTATATAACCAGACTTTGTTCTTTTGGTCTAAAGTACAAAATCCACAGTTACCATAGTTTGTCAATTTTGAAATTGTTATTGATGCTACCATTATTGTTAATTATGCAACTCCATATAGGGTATCACATTTGTTCCAATCAGTTGTTCTCCCTTGTGTAAGTATTGTGAAGCTCCAGGGCAAAAATCTCAACAAAGCCCTATGACAAAGCCCTGGTGATTGATCTAAGCAGATAACAGCCCATGCTAAATTAACTGGAAAGGTAGGCTCTTGGAAAAGACATAAATCAACAATCCCCTATGCACAGAAGACGTTCTTGAAGAACAATCTTTCTCTTTAAAGGCTTTGATATAAGAAGAAGAGGGTGCTAAATGTAAGCAAGAGAAAGGAAAAGGAATAATGTGGGACTATATTTCTTCAAGGTTGTATATGGTCAGATTTTTGCACTTATGTGTAAACATAAGAAGTATATACATCTCTATGCCCATTTTTAAAATATACTATAATTTTTAAATGTTTTTTTTATCATCTTCTGTAGGGACTTAAAGTTGAACGTATCAATACTCGATGAAAAATACCTGTTAGATATTATGCCTAAGATGTTTGATAAGCAGACTGATAGTGAGGTTAAGCTTAACAGCCTA